TTATATCTCTAGAAACGAACTTAAAGTAATAATAAACTCCAAAGCTGCTTATGTTGGCTTTCGCTTTAACTAGTTGGGAACTTTAGTTAAAAAGGCTTAAAGAGTGCACAGGAGCTGTACTTGACTGTTGGTAACTTTTTATATTATTTGTTTTTTGTTTATTGTTAAACAGCACATTCTGAATAATTCACCCGTTTGTAGCCATATTTCTACTGAAGTTCTCATGGTGTGCAAATCAAATTGAAATTGCCCGAAATTCGCAGCTCGTTTCATCAACACAATTGCCAATCATTCAGCACACTCACACACAAAAAAACAAATATATATATATATATATATATACTCTATATTCGAATACGCAAAATTTCATTTCCGTTTGTCCGGCACATCCGGCTGCAAGTGAAAACTGTGAAAATGGTTGCAAAATGCATAGCCATGCCATGCATACTGAGAGCGCCAGAGATAAAAATAGAGGGAGAGATAGTGATACAGATATAGAGGGACAGGAAGAGATAGACAGAGAGAGAGAGACAGAGAGAGAGAGAGGGGGGGTTTGAACCATCAATAGCACCACTAACTTCCACTTCTTGTCAGTCTAATCGACACATTTTCGGTTGCATTTAAAAGCCACTTGCCATCGACTGACTAAGTGCCACGCCCAACCCACTACCTAACCGCCCCACGCGCGGCGTTGATGAGCAATTCCTCCATGCATATCAAGGTCAATACAAAATGGCGTCGCTGCGCAAATACAAAGTACACAATGTAGTGCATATTGGCATTACCATTCAAGTGCGCCTACTTTACCCCTACCGCACCTCACCCCAGCCACAAATCTATTGCATTCTATGCTGCGTCCCTTGCCAACAGCGCTCATCAACGCTTTTCCGAAATTTACACAACACTAGAAAAAAAGTAGTTAAACGCTTTTCGCGATTTGTAAAACTTTTGCGCACTTGTTTTGTGTGCTGTACAAAAAATTGCAATACAAAAAATCGACAATAGAAATTTTATGAACTTTTGGCATAGAGAAACGCAAATGCCCTAATTTCAACGTTTATTGAAAATAATTAAAACTCAGTCTTTTATATTACAAATTAATAAAAAATATATATAAAATAAATAAAAATTGAAAATTAATAAATATATAAATATATTGAAAATTACAAAAAAATATAATTTATAAAATTATTTAATTTATAAATATTTTAAATTAATTAAAATATAAAATATATGTAATTAAAAATATAATATATAAAAATAAAAAAATATTTAAAAAATGAATAATATATAATATTATTTTTACATTTGAAATGTTTGTTTTCAATAAATTTGCTTTGTAAACGAAATATGAAAATTTCTGTATATTTGCTGCTGGCGATTAAAGTTATTTAAAGTTTGTTACAAAGTTGATGGCAAATTTGATATACTCTTGCTATACTCACAGCAAACTAAAGCGCCAATTTCGCCAATGCGAATATCTCGTGCTTTTTTTTTCTTCTAGTTTTTGTAATGGGATTTGTTGTTGTTGTTTTTGTTGTAATTGTTGTTGCTGCTGCTTGTTGCAAGACTTTTTGATTGGAAAACTTGTGCATTGGAGTGAGTTGTATGCTTTTTCGCTTCTTGTGTGTTTTTTATTTTTATTTTTGGTTAACCCAGCTAAAGCGCTTGTGTTACCTAGCTAATTAAAATGCTTAGGGTTAAAGTTCACGGGCGTGCTAAAATTGACAATTTCCATGGGTTAATAAATTGACGCAATATGGTTAAGGAGTGGATGTTGTGTGTGTCTATGTGACTTGTCTATATTGCCAATGGGCTTTAATGGCATAACACACACACACACACTGCATGCCAATCTAAAATCGTGGCATTTGTATCCATTGGATATCCAATTTAATTTCTAGGCTATTTCCAAGTTGTTGACGCAGTTTTGTTTGCCATTCGATATCCTTGACTGGGCTTCGGCTTTCGCTTTGCTCTAAAATTGTATCCTTGTATCATTAATTAAGATGCACACATACACACAGGCACACGCACACAGGCACACAGTCACACACTCCCTGAGAGTGTGGGGTTAACCAATGTCAAGGCAGGTTGCGTTTTATCTATGAAAAGTCAGTCGAGGTGTTTATTTCTTCTGCTGTCCCACGCTCAGACAAACTTGTGTGAGTTTGTGTGTTTATGTGTTTATATGGCACACACACACACACACACACACACACACACACACATGTTACTTTGGTCGCATTAATTTTGCAATCAAAATGTCTTACGGTAGCTCTACAGCCCAAAATTTAGTGGGTGTACGCACGTGTGTGTGTGTGTGTGTACCTGTCCGTATGTGTGCCTGTGTTTTCTTCTAACCCACTTAATTTAATTTAATCAGCTTAGTAATTAGTTAGCTCGTTGTTCCCGCTGCTGCTGCGGCGGCGGCTGCTGCTGCTGCAGTTGATAAACATTTTTGGCATTACCTCCCGCCAGGCCTTATAAATATTTAATGCACTTCTCTGTGTTTTTGCTGTGCAACTAATTTGCGTTAAGTTTGCAAAACCCTCAACGTGACTTGTGAATGTAAACTCTGAGGATATTGTTTAATAACACTTGACGACAAAATGCCTTTGCAAATATTTAAAGTGTGCGGACATTGATTGAAAGTCGCAAAAGAGTTAATGTTGTTGTGTGCGGGTTAGTTGAAGTTAGTTTTATAGAGCCATTTGTTAATTTATACAAATAACAGTTTATTTCAATTTCTATGCTCCGACTCAATTGTGAAAGTGTTTAAATAATAAATGGATAACTTGTCCCATTCTCATTCTCACATCCATATTGTTTTTTATCTCGAAGCTTCTGAGAGATACAGACACCAAATTTGGCGTTGTTTATATAGTAGATCAGATTTTTCTTACCAAAATAACTAATTTTATGGACGTATAGCCTTGGACTTTGATATTTACATCCATTTAAGTGTCATATATAAACCCCGAAAGATTCAAAAGGATCGGACAATAAGCACCGAAGTTACTCAGGAACAAGTTCTTTATAGTACGCGGCAAAGGGAAGAAGAAGCACAGTCTCATGCTTGTGTGCGTGAGTGTATGTGTGCACTTGTGTATGTCGACATGGTAGAAATAGTTAGAAAAAGAGTTCATGTTATTTCATAGTCTCTTATATTTTACATCATTTTGTTTTTCTAAGAACTTTGTTCTTATATTTAACTAGCAAAATGTCAAAGAAGTTAATCTCAGTCGGTAAATGGATATTATATGCGAATTATAATAAAATCAACTCTCGTAATATAATATTCAGCTGGCATTTAAAATTCAAATATACACATTAACTTGTCCGGCTATCTTTGTTTCCCATTGTATATGTAAATAATGGTATTAAAATTGTTAAAGCATTATTCAGTTCAATAATTATGAGATTTCATTTGTCGTTTGAATAAACAACAAAATGTAAATCGCAATCGCCTCAATTAGATGCTAGCTAAATATAAACCTCAATAACTTATACGTATTGCTAATGTTTGTTATTTTCAAATGGCATTTAGCTATTAAGTACACAATATTTGAATACAATTTGTGACCTTCGCAGAAACAGAAAGAAAATGCCAAAATGGTTAACGAAATCAATAAATTGATGCCCAAAAGGAATAGAAGGCAATCAATGCAAAGAGCCAAACAGATGCGGTCCCAAAGATTGAAAAGAACAAAACCGAGAATTAAGGCTATTTGCGGTACGCCGAACATTTAATACCCTTATGCACATTTGCCCTACTGTATGTGAATTTACTATTATAAAGCTCGTAAATGCTGAGTTTTGGAAAACTGAATATGTTGCCGTAGGGCTAACTATATGATATAGTGCTCCGATGTTGATAAGGATTTGCATATATGTGGGGAGAATCATATAAGTAACAGGTTGCGAAAGTAGAAAGTTTTCCATCGTTCGATTGGTATGTGATATAGTGTTCCGATCCGGACGCTGCCGATATACATATGTATTGCCTGCAAGAGAAAGACGAACCTTTCAAGACGAGAGTTTTTAAACTGAGGAACTAGTTCGCATAGTAACATACAGATGGACAGACAGACATAACTATATTAGCTTGGTTGTCGATGCTGATCTGGAGTATATATACTTTATGGTTTCGGAAGAATCTCCTTCCATGCCCTTACACATATCATCACAAAATTATAGTACCCTCTATAAGAGTATAGAAAAACAATGCCAGCAGGCCAATAGGCAAAAAATTGAGCTGTCTAAATGTGGGCGGAGTTTTCAAGTTTTTTTCACCGGTTTTTATTTTATTCAGCGCATAGCTGACAATCGAGTTGGCTGGAGCTCAACATAGGAAATATTAGATGAAAGATAACTCAAGCACTGAGAGACTTGGGGGCATTGGACATGTATGTATATAAGCTCGTGACAGGTTCTATGCAACCCATTGACCCTAATATTGGGTGTATACATGAGTGTGTGTGTGTGTGTGTTTGGACTGCTTGAAATTTATTTAACTGGCAGTTAAGTTGTTGCCGAGTGCTGACAGTTGAACGAATTGTTGTTAATAGTTCAAAGTCACAAAATGTCAGCAGGAGGCATCATTAAATTAAGTAGACTTAGCTTGATTTTTTATTGCCTAATTTAAAGCACTTTGCCAGTTGAGAGGCACTACAAATATAGAATTTCAAAGAGAACTACACCTAAAAGTCTATTAAACTAAGCGAACATTAAATGCTGAGCCTAGTTTAGTACAAATTAGTTGGATCCAGGTCTACCTTAGCGAATAGAATATAAGTGCAGATTTAGGAGAAAATCGATAAAAAATATATATATGTATATATATGTTGTGGCATATGAAATCAAGAACAAGAAAAATATTTAAATATATAATAATATATTAGCAGCTTGATTCAACACATAAACTAAAACTAAAACTAAAACAGAATTTAATATTTGTTTCTTCTCTAATTTAAACTTCTATCTTATTTTCTTTTCAGCATAAAATATATAAATTCTATCCACAATTGCTAAGCATTATTTGTTGAGGTAAGCTGATGAAATCTAATACATTTTGTTATTATTGAACAAATGCCAATTCAATTGTATTTTATTTCTGTTTCGTTAATTTGTGCAGCATAAATGCCTAGCCTTTCACCCTTGGCAACAATATTAAATAATTTTCAACATTTATCAATTTGATTTTTTCTTTAACCCTTCCTCTTGCCCGAGGGACGACACATGATTCCACGCCTAGCGTGAAGGGCGAAGCAGCACATTTGTTGACTGCAATTCGCATTGCTCTATAAATTTGAATGAATTCATTTGTTTGTGAAACGTGTGCGAACACAGACGCTTGAAAACAACAACAACAACAACAACAACAACAACAACAGCAGCAGCAACAAGAACAACAAAATAACATAAGCAGCATGTGCGGTTCGCCATTTAGCAATCCAACCCAATGGACGTTGTTGTTGTTGTTGTTGTTGACACAATTGAGCATCATATTTATTATGCCAACGGGTTTTCAGTCTCTCTTTCGTTGTTTTTTTCATTCTTTTTTTATAGCTTTTCTGACTGGGGCATTGCTGCTTTGTCGTCTAGTTGATACTCGACGGCGGGCACTCAGTAATTATGAATCGCAGGAGCTTTAATTGTAGATTACTTAAATCTAGCAATTTTTATTTGTGGATATTTAATCTTTATATTTTTTTTTGTATATTTTTTCTCACTCTTTCTTTCTCTCTTATTCACTTTCTCTCTTCCTCTCTGTCATAACCATTCTCTCTTCCTCTCTGTCATAACCATTCTCTCTTCCTCTCTGTGTTTTACATTCTCTCTGTCTCCCACTCTCTGTAACTATCATTACATATCTTTATCATTATCTTTCTCCCGCTCTCTCTTCCCTTCTCTTCCCTTCTCTTCATCTCTCTTCGTCTCTCTTCCTCTCTCTTCCTCTCTCTCTTTCTCTTTATCTCTCTTTCTCTCTCTCTCTCTCCCTCTCTCTCTTTATATCTATCTATATATCTCTTTTTTTTTACTCCTCCTCTCTATCGCTCTCTCTCTCTCTCTCTATCGCTCTCCCTCTCTCTTTGTCTTTCTCCTTCTCCCTCTCTCTATTTCTCTCTCTCTTTCCCTATCTCCCTCTCTCTTTCTCACTCTTTCCCTGCCAACCTTAAGATCACTCACTTCCGCAAACCCTCTCTTCAGTTCATTCACTTTCTGAGCAACATCTATCTCTTGTTTATCGTGTCTCTTGTGTCACATTCGTTTTCTTAACGAACGTTTTATTACAATGATTTTTGTGTGCTGTGACTTAAACGTTTCACTGTCTGTTCTTCTGCACTTGAATCTGAAAATGTCCAATGCAACACGCATAATATGAATCATATCTGAATATACTGTGGACAGGGTATTCGCATTTTGCTGCAACATAGACTCACGTATTTATTGGTCTTTTTTCTTGCGCTAGTCAAAAAATGTTCATTGTTCGCATTTATTTACGTGAAATTGTTGCTATGTTTTGCATGGCTTGTCGCTGCTGCCAGGCCAAAAAAAAAAAATAAAAAAATAAACATTTTCAACATATTGGTTGAACATATTCTAAATTTCTTGTGTCCCTGTCTCTGTCTGTCTCTCTATCTCTGTTATTGCTTAGTTGGGTTTCATTTCATTTGGGTGCTGGGTTGGAATTTGGCGCACAGAAAATATTTCATTATCAGCTTTTGCTCAGTGCACAGAATTTTTACAGCAAATTTATAGCGAACATGTACAACATGACCTCTCAACTGAAAGCCATTAGAAACACGCACATATCCTTTTAAAGCACACACACTCGTGCACACACACACGTACAGAGGACACACGCACACCTGTGCACGGACACAAAAATGTGGGCTGTGCAAAAGCAATTTTCCAATTTTCCTGAGCACAACATAACGCAAGCATATCAGTCGATTTTCTTCTTGGCATTTTCTTTCTCTGTCTCTTTTTGCGCTGCTTATTCTTCCACCTATTTGGCTTCTGACAATGGCTCGACGTTATAAGCACCTTAGAAATCAGTTGGATAGAAAAGAAACAAGTAAACATGTTGACATTTTGGACGCTAGTCGACTAGCAAATGCCCTCTAACAAGGAATACCTAAAAGTCTTGAAAAACTTTAAATGAGCCATCAAAAAGGGAAACGTAATAATAAAAGTCTTAAAAAAATATAATATAATATAAAATTGAAAATTAAAAATAAAAAAAAAAAATAAAAATAAAAATAATAAATAAAAAATAAAAATAAAACAAAAAATTAAAAAAAAAAAATAAAAAAATGATAATGAGACAATAAAGTAATAAACAAAAAATAAATAAAATTAAATTAAAATAAAGAGAAAAAAAATTCAAATAAAAAATAATGTAAAAAAAAAAACCAAAAAGTGATTAAATAAACAACAAAAAAAATATATATATATATAAAGAATTAAAAAATAAAAGATAGACAAAATTAAATTAAACTACTTGTACTTGTTACTTGTTATAAATTTAAAAGGCATATAAATGGGTTAGTCTGGCATAATGAATCAACAATTTTGACTGACATGTTAAGCTTGTCAACATCATCGCAAATTGAAACCATTCTTAACTTTTCGAACAAATCCACCCACTTAATGCCGTTCATATAGGGTATTAAAAATTTACATGAAACCAATTTGCAATGTTGCGGCATTTTCATTTCAATTTGACCTTCAGAGCCAAGCCAAGCTGGTTTTTTTTCTTGCTCGACTTATCTACTTATGGCGAAAACACAGTCACAGTATAAACGAGTGAAAAACAAATGCGATTTTCTTTTTGTTATTCTATGTGGAGTGGCTGTCGCAAAAACTTTTAGACTTGTGCCAAGGAGTGCCCTAAGTCAAATGCTTCAATAATAAATTCATGATTTATGCATCTAACAATCTCGATTAATCTTTCGTAGTTAAAAATACAGTTGACGTGTTTATTACATTTCGAGCTCTATTAAATTGCATATCTCTGCCAGTTTTAAGGCTTACGCAGATTACATATTTCTTGGCTTGATTCGTATGTCAATCAAGTGCCTATGATGTAAGAATAAAATGAGTTAATCAAATGAATGCAAAAAATAATGAATACATTTCTGTATGACTCAGCATTAGAATGACAACACACATATTTAAATTATAATAATTTATTTATAAATGATATGCTGTTTCGAGTGGATAAAATATTAAAAGAGGCAGAACTATCTAGTTTATTAAATTAATATAAATGGAACCCGTTTTCGTTCACGTTCTATGTAAAGGAATTTAAATCTAATTTCTAAACAATTTATAAGTAATTTAAACAGAACTTTTAGAAAGCACATTGAAACAACTGAAAACTTTTGTATTTTTAATAAGGCACACCTAATGCTTAAAGTTCTAGCCCAATAGGTACAGCTTTTGATGCAATAAGAGTCTTGAAAGCACGTAGAAAGAGCTGAAAGCTTTGCTCTCCAAAATCAAACTAACTTAAAGATTTAAAGACTAAAAGCTTTAAGTTATAACCCATTAGCTACTTTTGTGAAAAGCATAGAAACAACTTAAAGCTTTGTTATTAACAATTAAGCACACTTAAAGCTCAAATGCAGTTACAGTTTGTCGATTTACGCCTCTCACTTGATTGACTTTAAATGACATGTTATCGTTCGCTTCTCGTATATCAAAAGCCATAGACAATACCTGTGTTTAAAATGTGCACGGGCCCACAAGTAAAAACTATTTTTACGCTCATTTATCTAAAATTATAAAGCTGCAGATAACCATAGTAACTCTATTCTATAAATTAATGCCCCCAAACTGCAAGCGGGTAATTTTACAATTGCAAAGCACAAATAGACGCAACACTCGACAATCAAAGTGGTTTTTCCGCTTGGCAATGGCAGACAAAGTTAACTGCCGATGGATAGGATAGTGCCACGAAGGTGGGAGGGTTATGGGGAAAAAGCAACAACAAACTGCCGTCAAACTGTCGGGAAAAAAAAAAAAAAAAACAAAAAGCCGAAGAAAAAGAAAAACTTGACTAGTCGCCATCGTCATCCTCAATGCCTTCGGTTCGTGCTGTTATAGAAAGCAGAAAGTCCGTGGCATGTTTTGCCGTTGTTGGCCTCAAAAGTTGAAGCAACAAGAACAGCAGCAACAACAACAACAACAACAACAGCAACAACTAGCCAGAAAGAAACCATTTGGAAAATATAATCAAATTTCTGCCTCTCACTCACTCAGAAGTAGTTTGCTAGCGCTCCATGGGCTGTGCTCTTCATGCAGATTATTACGTATTCCATGCATATTTATAACGTTAACTGGCATTTTGATTTTTGTTGTACCCTATAAATATAGAAACAATTGAATAACAGACAGGGTAACACATAGTTGGTTGAGATTCAAGAAATGTTGAAAATTTGTTAGTTTATAATTAATTTCATATAAACACGCAGTTTAACAGACTTTGTAGTCTACTCTAGTATGGCAAAGCCTTAACTTGTTGCGAATTACAAGCGTAAGGCCAGGAAAAGGGACAGCTTGCATAATAGAATCCGTTATTTTAATTTAAATTTTGTATGTGCTTTTCGACTAGCTTGTACAAACTAACTGTGTCATGTTTGTCTTTTCTTTGTGAACTCAGAGACTGTCCACATCAGCTTTAAACAGTTTGCTATATCGACTTCCAAATACCCTACTCAATGCGGGCTTTTATCAAATTTTGAGTATGGCTTCCTATTTAGCCTGAAGAGAATTAAAAGAAATTGCAAACATTATGAAATGTTCAAATAATAAAGCCATGCGCCCTTGCATTACACGGTATCTCTAGGTCAAGCACACCCGCCTTGTTCTCACTGACTTAATTTTTTTTTTATTTCGCTCACTTTTTATTTTTGCTGCTGCTGCCCCACATTGGTTAGCTGAAGGGCAGCCAGCAACGTGGCACAACGTGTGAAGCGATTCGCTCTGCAAACTAAACTCAAGTGGCATTGAAAATTTATAAAATTTACTTTTTTATT